GAAAATAAACAGTTAAAATAGTTTCTTTCTTAAGAAACATTTGATAACTATCTGGACATTATAAAGATTTCGCATGTGAAATTTGAAAATTTTCTGATGCACAAAAGTATTTTTTATCTTAAAATGAAAATTACTTTGCATGTTGGATAGGCAACATGCAAAAAGAAAAAAAGGCATGAGAAAAAACATTGCTTTACAAACCTTAAGACTTAATAAGAAAATTGATTTTTTTGTATATGAAAGCATTGTAATGTTTACTGATAATCTGCCAAATTTTGTTAACATACGCTTACTAATTAAAAAGTTATAGCATGAAAACTATAACAAGCACAAAATGGTTACGAGGTCGGTCTCAGGGACTGAGCCCATGCTGAAAGAGTTAATGTTCCTTTTTTTTTACTTTATGTTCTAAGATACTTCCAAAGTTTATCAGAATACATTCACTAATAAGTTTATGGGTAACAGAAAATACATCTTATGACCCAAGAGACACAGACTTAATGTAGGTTAATTAAAACTTTTCTTATTTCAATGTAACTTATTTATCAACAGAACATGAATTTAAAACCTACTTCACCAATAACTGGCTCTGGGGGTTTCTCATCCTGTCTTCTTTGCTCTTGCTTGTCTCTTTTGTGTGACTTGCTATGATAAGCTGTTCTTTCTTTGCTTTTAGACCTTGATCTAGATCTACGAGGTGACCTTGATCTAGATCTACGAGGTGACCTTGACCTAGATCGATTGTGTAACCTTAACTTACGTTGATGAGGTGATCTTGACCGTGACCTACACAAAGAGTTTGATCGTCATCATTTTAAATCTTTTGGGGGAAAATGTAAAATTAAATTTTTCTTTTGACAACAGAATATTTGGTTAAGTTTGCTTAAGCTTTCCACAAAATCTATAAAAGTATCATATTGTTTGAACATAATTTATTCAAAAGTTAAATTCTTTCCTACTAAACTATTGTCAGGGAATATGTAAGGTGTAACCTAGAGTTCCAAGGTCTGCTATTTATGTAAATAGCAACTCTTTTTCTTACCTAATCAATTTTGAGATATATGTACAAATTGAGGTACTTTGTTAACTCAAAAAGTAAATTCAACATGAAGAAAAACAGAGAAATTTGAAACCACTAGCAGACACAATCAATACAGTTTAGATCTTTTTGTTTTTGTCAAAAGTCTAAAATACAAAGCAATTTGTCATATCAAAATGTTCTTTGTAAAAAAGACAAAACAAATAACAAATTTGTAGTTTTTATCTCTTTCAGCATTTTCAAGCAATGCTAATAGAAATAAAAATGGCATATTATGATCTCAAAATAGAAAAATATTATACATTTCTGGTTATTAGGCTTTTAGAGTAAAAATACATGTCATTATTAAACTTTTCTGGAAAGTATGGCTTGCTGAAGTTCGTTAAGACACAAAAAATACAAAACAAAGATGGTTAGCTTTCAAGATTAAGCCACTTCACTGTGGTAGCTGTGTATTTCCTGTAGAGTACATTGTTTTTGGTTACATAGTTTCAAGGCCATTAAAACAGGTTTATGATTTAACAGTAGAACCCATTGAGTTGTGGCATCATATTCATTCACCTTTTAAGAACAGTACTGAAGTACAACATTTTAACCTACTGCTTTCAGTCATGTAATTCATTCATCATGATATATTAAAGTAAATACAGTACACACTTTACAGGCATCGAGTATAGATATATACTGGGACTTCACAGATATTCAATGTTTTGATTTTTCTGGGATGATACAAGTGAAAACATAGTTGGTCTTGATTTTGTCTTTTTCAAGTTTATCATGGCTAAACAGTGCTATACATATCCACAAATTAAGAGTAAATATCAGAAAAGCCCTAAGATTTATCTCAAAACTTCTGTGGGAACTTGTTATCTTGCTAAAATACACTGCAGTCACATGAACTTAGCTGTGCGACCTAACAGCATGTAACCAATAGAAAACTTAGGGATTTCCCTAGTATGCAATATATGTGTAGCTTAGGCAACTACATCTCTTCAAAGATGAAGGGGAAAGGTTAGTACATACTGTAGGTTCTCACACACAATGCACACATATTAACATACATCCAGTAAAATGTAGTAAACAGGTTAACTACATTAAATTTTATAATCATAAACTGTTAAGATTATAAAAAACTATTATTCTGAAGACACCATAATGTTATTTTTTTTATCTAATATGGTTGAAACAATTAAATATAATTTCAGGACAGATAAAAGAATCTCAAGCAAGAAAATGGATAAAATGAAATAACTGACATCACTATGAAGTTATATATAATACAATGCAAAGTATGGTTTTAAGAGTTATTAGAAAATTGTCTTCATGTGGCTTTTACTAAGAAAACTAAGAAAGAGAATGTTATCTACCAACAAAACAAAACTGTTTGATGGTTCTTCTTTAGAATCAATACATGAACAATTATAACATTTCTTAAGTATAACACAGTTACCAAAAGCTTTACTGTACACTCATTCATTACAAAAATGTGTTTTTCATTTCACACAAAACTACTCGAGGGCTATCTGCACTAACAATCCCTAATTTACTAGTAATAGACTAGAGTGAAAGCAGTTAGTCAACAACACTCACTTCCAACTCCTGGGCAAATAGTGGGATTGACAGACACATTATAATGCCCCCACAGTGAAAAGGACAAGCATGTTCAGTGATAAGAATTTAATCTCATGATCTACAGATTACAAGTTCAAGCTCCCTAACCACCAGGCCATGCCAAGCCTAAATATTCATCAAACTTTGCTTCTAGTACTAATTATAACACAACAAACAAAAATAAGTGTGGCTTGATATATAGAAAATCTTCACATGGAGATCATACACATAGTAAATGAAAAGCTATTTCAAAAATCAAGATCCACATACCGTTTTTTTCTTGATGACCTGTCTTTACTTCTGCTCCTACTCCTGTGCCTGCGAGATTCTTTCTTTGTGGCTACTTTTTCTTTTTTGACAACGTCCCTATTAAAAGATAAAATTCATATACTTATTCTGTATCTGCATTACAGGAAATCAGGAAAAAAAATTTAAAAACACAATTGAATCATTTTTATTTTAGCATCTTACAGTTTGAAAGTATACATAAGAGATACCTAACTAACAGTTTAATTTCTTTCAAGCATCTTAAAATAAAGTTTTGCCTGAAAAATAGCAGACTGATTTTATTCTAATTTTTCTAGTAAAATATTCTAACCCATAAATTACAAATATTTACCCAACATTTTGATTTGGTGATTGATTTTGTTTTGAGCTACCAAATACAAAGTATCTATTGTAACTTCTTTTCCACAATGTAATAAGTGCATAGTTTTCACTATGGGCAAGACAAAATTGTGACCAAATAATTCAAGAAGAAAATTCTTATCTCTATAATTACAGTCTGATGTTTATAAATCTTCAAAACTACACAGTTTTTCAGTTAATCTAACTTTACAACAGTATGAGTTTCAAGCCTTGTATACAGAAGTGTCACAACACAAGTCCAAGCAGTTAATTCAAACCAGTCTTCATCGAGAACTCTATAGTTCAAAAGCAACAATAAATCAGCTATTCAGACTAAACCTAATTAAAATGTAACTGTTATTTATAAACAATAAAGAATTAATTTAAGACAGAATTATTGATTTTCATTCCTGGATTAGCAGGGAAAAAATTGGAAATATTCTGAGTTAATGTCTTAATCTATACATTCAACAGTCACAGTCTTCTGAACAATGAAAACAATAGAACAAGGGATCATAAATTCAAATTTTGGCAGCATATGAGTCGTCTGCAGTTTAGAAAGTATTACTTTTCAAACAGGGTAGTTGGCTTTTGGAATGAGCTCCCTTCAAGGGTGGTGGAGGCAGAAAAGTTAAGTAAGTTCAAGAAAAGATTGGATGAATACATGAGTAGTAAGGGGTAGTTATAGTTGGGAACTGGAAGGGACATCCTTGATGCGTTAATAAGCTCCTTTTTGTCCCTTCAAAGTTTATGAATTTATAATCATATTGTACTGATTGAAATCATGACTGAATAGTTTAAATCACACATAATGCAGTCGTGTATTAGACACAGGAACAAAGAACTGCCTAAAAATACAACACAGTTGAATAAATAAATAGGCAAGTAAAACATTTCTTTGAATGATGATGGTTCTGAACTAGTTTTTAGCAGTAAAAAAATGGAGAAACAATTTAAATTACTGATCGAAGTTTCAAAAGATATTATATCCTCGGAATATATCCTCATTTATTATATCCTCGGAGTTCTGTGTATATTAAAAATGAATCAAAGTTCTTTTAATGTTAGATTTGCTTTGACATTTTCAGTCATTTTATTACTACAGGATTTATCTCCACAAATATTCGAAGCAAATGGATTACACTCATATGGAATAAAAAAATATTAGAATTCTTTTACTTTTACATTTACTATTAAAGCATATCAAAATCACATATTTCAGATTAACTTGTATCAACATGTGAGCAAAGATTTTTTTTGTATTGCTTTAAACTGACAAGTTCCTTCTGTAGTGCAATGAAAACAAAAAGAGTTTGTCTTATAAAAGCTTTGGTTCCTGAAATGAGCATTGCTATTTAAGAAAAAAAAGGATTAACTAAAATCATACTTATGGAAGTCTAGTGAATATTTTCAACAAAAATTTAGTTTGCAGGAAACTAAGTAATAGAGTTAAAACTGGAAGTTGAAATGGCCATTATACTTTTCAAGGATTTTTAAATATTATAATAAACTGGATGTACTTACGCAGGGTCCCTAAAGTGTTCTGTTTCTAGAATATGTCATGTTGTAGCCTAAAGAGTGCATAATTATTCTCATGATTCATGACATGTGCACATTTTACTGACATCACAACAGTACAAAATGCAGATGTCATTTTAGTGTCTACTGACTGACTGACAGAAAACACACTACTGTATAATAGTGCAAGTGGTTGAAACAGGTGACCCCTCTAGATGGCCTTCAGCCCCCTTTCAGAGAAATTATTAATGAGTATTGAAAAAAAAGAAAATAAGACACTCAAGATCACTATGCTTGTTAATTTAAGCCCAAAAGGACACTACTAATTACAAACACAAATATGTAACTAAAACAAAAAATACTACAACAAAAAAAACTGTTTTCTAAGTCTGAAATTGCCCAATGCAAGTACCTAAAAGTTAATAAAAGAATTACTAATATTTTGATATTACACAATTGTTATACAAAGAAATACACACTCACTCTAAACCCGGTGCCATAGCTTCAAGTTCTGCAAATGCATCAGCTGCTACTTTCACATCCATTTCAAGCATTTTCTGTAAAGAGGTTTTGCTGTTGTTATAAATTTGAATAAGCAAATGTACAAGCATTAAAGAATTATAAACACAAAATTTCATCTGGGGCTAAATATAGCCCATAATACCTTTAACACTAATAAATCCATAAAATGTCCCCTATATTCCTGTGAGTAATATTTTATTGGTTCTAGAGAATAAGATTGTAGATTTTAAAATTGTGAAGCTACTTTTCTTTTCTGAGATTACATAAGTATAGTACTACATTTCATAAATGAATTTCATATAAAATAACCTGAGAACCCTGTTTAAAAATATATTTAAGAAATCAGCTTCACAATTTCTGGCTGGCATAAAACAATGATCATTACGTACATCAAACTATATCTTTATCCAATTATCAATCAAAATATGAGCAGTTTTTTGTACAATGCAACTGAATCCAAATTTTTTAAGTGCAACTTCTTAAAAGCACAACTTGTACAAGAGAATTAATATGATTAATACAGATACTTTAAACTTAATGTCATGAGAAATCTTAACGTATAAATAACATTTTCATTGTATAGAAAAATTTTTTATTTTTTTTCTCTTAGCCACAGCCTTTGTGTCCATGTACTAAATTTATGGTTATGTTGGCCAATAAAATGTATCTTAACTGTTTACGTATTGCATCTCCAAATGAATTTTGAATACTAGAGATCATCATTTTTCAAATTTAACTATAAATCACAGAATTATACTAGAATATCAAATTACCTGCTTGCCAAAAAAAATTCTTTGTTCATCAAACAAGAAATTTCACCATCACTATGAATTACGATATCTACAGAGAAATTCTGTCAAATACTCTGAATTATTGTTGTTGTTTTTTGAAATTTATGATGAATGTGAAGACATTTTTAAATGCTTACCCCCAATTTTTGGGAACATGGCAATTTATAATCTTCTGGTATGATGAATATTTGATTGGTAAATTCAAAAATAAATTTCAATTATTAAAATATTTTAGAAATGATGTCTGAATTTAATTATTATTCTTTTTACAGCTGTAGGGTGTAAATTGATATATATTAGTTTTATTTTAATATTTAAATCGATGATTTTAACATGAAAAATTTGGTATATTTTAATTTATTATCAGATACATGGATCTGTTCATTTTATCTTAATTTTAAAGTATAATCAATTTATTTCATTTTTCAAAAATTTTTTATTGTATTTTAAACACCTTTTTTAGAAAAAATTTTGAGCCTGTAAAGCAGCTAAAATGTGATTGTAAGTTATAATAAAATAATAAACTGAAAAAGTGTAAACTAGTACTTTCTACCATATTTTTCTTGAATTATTTAATCACTATAAATTGAAATTATCATCATCATTCAAATTAATTGTTCAAGCAATTATTAGATTAATGCATATTTTTATACTTTTATTTAAGCATGAACAAGACCTTTGTTACCAGACATCCAATACTTGCAATACTTTTATTAAAATTGAAAGAGAAAACAATGATAAAAGAATACTTTTTATAAGAACAAAAGTATTAAACTATACAGTTAAAGAGCTTAATTACTATCAAGAAATAAGCTTACCCGAACATTGGGATCATTTGGAAGAGCAAGTACAGGGTACTTTTCCTTTTTTATTTCCATCTCTGTCTTTTCAGTATTCTCAATTTTAATATCATCTTCAGTGACATTCAATTGTTTTGGTTGCATGTGATGTATGATTCTCAGTAAATTAGCTGTGAAGGAATCCTGTGTACATATAATATAAAAGCAATACTATTCAAAAACATATTATATTCATATCATTGTACAATAATATAGAGTTTACTGTATTTAAAAATCAACCGAGTAGGAAAGAGGGAATTTCATAAAATAATTGCACTAATTTTTAACTGTATAAAATGATAACACTTCTTTATATATTTTAAAACTAAAACTCTCAATGGTTATAGCCTTTTCTAATTGTAATTAATGATCTTAGCTACCAAATAAGAACTATTTTTAAAAAATGGTTAAACCGCTTTAAGACAGATAAGCATGGTTAGTGATTCTGTCAAACAATCTTCACCAGAGTCTGACGGTAGAAGATATATACGTTTTTTGTTGTTGTTTTTATAGAGCAGAGCCACATTGAGCTACCTGCTGTGTCTGCCACTGGGAATCGAACCCTGGATTTTAGCAATATAAGTCCCCAAACTTACAACTGTCCCACCAGGGGGCAAAGATATATGGAAAGAATTATACAGAAAAAAATGTTAAACAACATATTAACAAGTTTAATAATTTGTAGATTAAAATTATGAAAATTAAAGTTGCAAAATATGCTAGAAAAACAATTCAAAATTTACTTTTCCATAAGTACCTCACATAGAGTATTGAAACATTAAGAGAATGCTCTTTAAACACCTGAATATTAAGTCTACATAGTTTAAGCTTTTGCAATAGCATCAGATTTAAGTTGTGTTTTTTTAAGAATACCTAGTATTTCTATGTGTAGGAGCAATTTATATAATGTAAAACTGTGAATTTTGATTATTGCATTTTTCGATTCCTTACATGATTAACTTTCAATAATGCACCAGCTGACTTATACCCCACAACATTAATCATGTGTTTAAGAAATGAATACATGTTCATCCTTATGATCAGTTGTTGTTTTTTTTGTGAAATATTTCAAAATATTCATAAAAATAAAATATTGGTTTGTAAGCACTGAAACATGGAGCTTAATTATTCAAAAAAAAAAGAAAAAGAAAATCAGGTCAGGGAGGAAGATTAGAATTATTATCAGATTATTACGGCTTGTAATTCAGTTGTAATATAAACAACACACAATGTTTTCAATTACAATAGTGGAATACATTTTTATCAGATTATATAATACAACCTTTAATAATATCAACACACGCAAGCTCATTTTTTTAACTAGTGATGTCAAAGTAAGCGAACATGCTAAAACTGCACTACTTAAAGGCTTGAATTACTGTTTACCTCAATTTCCCCTACTACTTATCTCCATTTGTACTCACAATATCCTAAAGTTCTTCACCATATTCCACAAAAATAACACTTAGAATTTAGAGAGCCTTATTAGAACAAAAATAAAAAATACTACTTTATCTTCTTTCTACAACTTTCATAAAACCTCCTCCTCTCTCACCTATGATGAACTTTCTACCTTAAAAAAGTTTGCTAATAATACTAACATTGGTGTTACCACACCAGACAAAGGTAATGGCATAGTTAAACTAAACAAAGGTAAGTATATCCATAAAATGAATTCTATTCTTGGTGATGACACAAAATTTACACCTTCAGTTTATAATGGCTGAATCTAATTATAAAAATATCACAATCTAAGAAAAAGAGGAAATTATAGCAATCCTGTAAACTCAAAAGTTATGCATAAACTTATAATACCCAATGAATGTGATAATTTAGTTATATATATGCCTAACATCACAAATAAATGTTTTTAAGAACTTTAAAATACTTACAGCAAATTCAGCCCCATTTTCTTCCAAGACTTTTTTAAAACTCTCAAATGTGTTATTTTTCTCAGCAAGTGATATGATAAATTCCGCTATAAATAAAAAACAAAAAACATATGACAATTTACTAATGAATTCTAAGATATGTATTAAAATAATTGAAATCTCAAGTTAGTTTTAACAAGCTAATTAAAATGTGAATACAATCAGTCTTATTAAATAAACCCCAATTATTTGCCCCAAATAAAAATAATTTATTCTCTTAAACTTTTCTAGACTGGTGAGCACCTCTCAGGTATTGGGAGCACAAATGCAAATCTAACTTTTTTCAACAATGTTTTGCTCAAAAATATCTTGAAACTCATATTTTGTCATTTTGTAACATTATATAGAGTAACTAAAAAATAAAAATAATATTCAAACTTATATTTGTGCATAGGTCAGAAGATCCTCACCTGTGAACACCACAGTTATTGACAATGTTTAAAATTTTCTTGCTCATTCCAAAGCAGATGTTTATATAATTGTTAAGAAATTATTATTCCTTGAAAAATACAACTATCAAGGCTTTGTTTCACACATTATTTTCCTTATCTTTCTCTGATTTTATTACTAGGCCTCTGTTCCTACCCTTTCATAATCTCACAACATGTGATCTGAACAACTCCCTAACCGTAGATCAACTTTGAAAACAGTTACAGACAAAGTTTAAGTTCCATTGGAAAGAGCAGATTATAAATTATGTATACCAATGTAGAGTGAATAAAAAGGATTGAGAAATAATTTATGGTTTCATGGGAAAGTGACAAAATCTAGCTCCTGCAAGGAACAAGAGAATGCAGTAGGAAGTTTAGAAAAAAACTTAGGAACAACCAAAGGATATGAACATTTTTAATTACTTTAGATGTTATTTTCAATTCCCAAAATTGTGTTTAATTACATTTCTTGGAAAGCTAAGAACATTTTATTGTACAATGGCATAAAAGGTTTAAAAATTGAACTAAATTTCTCTGAAGCCAATATGAACAAAAGATGACTCAGATGTTTCAAATTTTAGGGGTTTTCATAAACTGCTTAAGACAATATTTGGTTTGTGGGATTATTGAAATAAGTGTTTTCGGACCACTGCTGTTTTACTATGTCTGTCAAATTTCTAAACTTTCTGCTGGGAAAGGCTAATCTTTGAAAAATACTTCCTTAATACAGAAGGTTTTAGAAATTCCTACAGTGTGCTAATCTATGGAAAAAAAGTTTTAATACCGTTAGAGGTAAGAAGATGCATTTTGTTAACATCTGGAAAGACATTATTTTTTTATCTGGAAAAGGTACTAGTGTTGTGGAGAATGAGAAAAAATTTAATGTTATAAATTAGTTAAGTCCTCAAGCCTTTGGCTGGATGTTAGAAAGTAATAAAAAGAGTACTGAGTTATATTTTGGTACCCTTTAAACAGAAGTTATTAATTTGGTCGAAAACGTTCAACAGAGAAGCAAACACAATTATCCTTGTTTTGAAACAATCAAGCTTAGATATTAAACATCTTTTCTCTTGAGCATAAAATAATTGGTGGTGACCTGATTTAGGTGTTTAAAATTAATAGGGGCTTGGAAAAATTACTGACAGGAAATTTGTTCAAGTGGTGGAAGAATAGGTTTGAGCTGAAACAACAAATGAACAAGAAAGGACTGTTTGTTTCTTCCAGGGTGTCCTTGTGCACCAATTCTTGAGAAAAGAAAAAATTTAAGCCCACTCTTTATCCTTTAGTCTCCAGCATGTCATCATTTTCCCTCTTAAACATCTGTAAATTCTAGCCTACCTTATTGCCAACAGTAACTCATTCCACAAGTCAATCACTCTGATTGGTAACATAAAACTGTCTTAACTGAAGCCTAATCTGTTTTTTTTCTAAATTTTAAACTCATGTTCTTTCATCCTATTATCTTCAGACCATAGCACAAAGAAGTGAGAGGCCTTCATCCTACCAATCCCATGGATAATCTTATAAACTTCAATAAAATCACCTTTTACCCTTCTTTACCCAAGAAAGAATTAGTTAAGTGATTTTAACCTTCATCTTTAAGATAGCCCCTTCCACTCCCAGAAACATTCTAACAATTCTCCCCTGAACAAGTTCCAGCAAATCAGTAAACTTTCTTAGGTAAAAGAGACCAAATTGCACACAGTATTCCAAGTGAGATCTAACTAATGATTTATACAGAAAGATAATTACCACTTTTGACTTGTAACTATTGTTTATAAACACATCCTAAAATTATATTAGCTTTACTACTAGCAAAAAAGCAGTCTTGATGGTTTGAGTGACTCATCTACCTCTACAGTCATGATACTGAGTGGGTTCCCATCAATATTAAACATGAGATCTAAATTACAATAACCCAAGTACATAATCTTGCACTTGCTATAATGAGTCTTGAGCTCAATCATTTCATTCCTAACACTCATAATATTAGATTAATAGCAACAAAGTTTAATCTTGAATCTACTATGTTATCTTGCTTATCTTTAGATCTGAAAGTCTTATCCTTAAAACTGTTATGCTCTAAATCTTATATTTTCAAACTCTTGGTTGCTCGGAAAACTAGTCCATAGGTTCACCAGCTCACCTGTTGCTCTAAGCATATTCTTGATCTTTCATTTAAGCATTGTATTCTTCAAGTTCATTTATTCCCACACTTAACCTAAGAAAGCTCTCCTGAAAGGGTCACACATCTACTGCTATACTTTTAACTCTTTGACTGTGGCTGCTTTAAATGGGCACGGAATTTTTGTGAGCTGTACACTGTATAGAATACAGTGTACATTCAGCTGCCGGGGGCGGACCGTACTCTATATGGTGAATCAGCAATCAGTCGGCTAAGCAGCTCTTATGATTTATAATTTCCAATATCACTTGCTTCTATATGCACTACAAAAACATAATGTTCCTTGGTACCAGCAACTAAACTGTCAACCTGCTCTATAATGTCCTGTACTTTAATGCTTGTAGAGCATATTCTTTCTATGCTCCCCACTACAAGCAACTTGGTCAGTATATTTAATGAGAAAGTCCTCCACTTCAAACAGCCAATGGTTCAAATCAACCAGAGACTATTACACAAATGCTAACAGAACCAATTTCTATAGCCTTAACTATTACTGTGTACCCTTGTAAACTCAGCACGATCACCCTTCTTTAAGCAACTATTACCCTGACTATCCATTTGCTGTCTTGCTTCCTTGATTTCTGCTCTGAATAATAACTTCCCTTCAGAGTAAGTTACGTACTTAGAGCAAAACTCTTAAGTCAACCTGGTCATCAGTATTGTTAATTAAATATACTTTCCTTACATTTCTAATTATAAAGATAATACACTGTTTCATCAGTTGGGTAATTTTTGATGAAATACAAATAAACTATGGAAGGCCAAGTCCAGGTTGGTTATTAGGCAATTTTGTTTCCCTATTAGTGTTATTTACTTGTGGAATAGCTTGACAGATAATGTGATGTCTGTTGATAGATTGAATTTAGTTAAGAATATGTAAATAATTTTATGGATGTGATACGTTATAGATCAGTTGGGCTAGTTTCTTTGTCAGGTGACCTTGGTGGGTGTTTGACCTTCTTTCAACTTGTATTTTTAAGTTATGCCTGTTTGAATGATGAAATGAGAATAATGGACTTAGAAATATGAATACTGAAGGTAATAAGCATAAGTTTTGGAAGTTGCCAAACATACGACTTATTTTTAGCATAATTGCTTCAATTAATTAACTTTTTTAATGTGTAAGCCTGAGAATTTTGCCAAACAATTTTCATCAGATAGTGCATTTTATTTCAATTGAAAAAAACTTATTAAAATATTGGAATATAGCAGATCCAGGAATAAAATTATCTGCTTGAGACAAGAAAACTCTAGTAACTAATGAATACTGAACACTAATGTGAGATCAGAAATCTCAGATCCAAGCTCCTATCACGTTTTTTTTAGCCTATTTCTCAAACATAAGACATTGGTATGTCAGTTGTTAATAGCTCAAGTTTTTACTTTCAAGCTTTTTTATAATCACTACACAAGTGGCAATTTGAGTCTATCTTGCTGATAAGGTTTTCAAATTTTTTTGTTTATTGGATCTTTAGAGTATTTTTTTTTTCATCCAAACTAGCTGGTAAAAAATTCAATAAACTCTTTTTGTAGTTCAAGTTTGATAATGCTCAGCAGTTTTACCAAATGAGTTTAATTCGGTGATTTTAAGACCAAGTAACCACTTTTTTTTGCTCATGGCTACATATAATTTATGATTACAATAGATTCAAATAATACATGTTCCCAATGGTAATTGATTAAGAGTACTGGACTTTACAATTTTATCAGCCAGTCAGTTATTTTAAAGCTTGCTTCGTGTCACTGGCAGAGAAAAATCGTGAAATGTAGTAAAATTCCCTACTGATGATTCAGATATTAATTTATTAACAAATAAGTTGTATACTTTTATAAAGTTTTATAGTAACTGGGTATTTTTTGTGACAAACACACATTAGATAAATTTTACTACTAAACCATAAAATAATTTTATCTTAAATCATTTCTGTATAAACTATAATTATCTTTACAGAGATAAGTAATGTTATTTGTAACTGAATTAAATTGCCTAACATTCAGTAATATAATCCAACAAAGTAATAAATACTGATTCATACATACCTAGGTCTTTATCATTTATTCCCAAATGGTTCTCCAGTTCCGTACATATTTTGGAAACTAATGAAAGATGCTCCAATTTCAAAATTTCTTCCATCTTCTATTTTTATACTTTTCTCCACCTTCCTAAAATCTTACAAAAAATTTAAATAAAGTATAGTACATCACACTGTAATTCAATAATAAAATATTTCATTCACCAATTAATGTATTACATTTTTTTACATCAAATTTAAAGTTTATCTCTAAATTAAGTAATACTGTAAAAATCAAAACCAGTGTCTCTTATACTTGCATCAACCATCTAAGTTTAAATTGGGCATGAAGGCCAAAGAATAAAAGCTCTGAGATTCTAAACAAGCATTCCATATTTGTTATAATAGTGAAAGATATTCATCATTTCTCTTTCCACATTGCCAAAACACGAAACTTACTTGTAAATCTTTTTAACTTAATACTTCAACTTGTGATAATGAGTTTAAGTTTCTTTGTTTTTATCAAGATTTATAAAAATTCAATTTAGAATATTTATGTCTCAGTCTCTTTATCATCAGACAATGGATATCTCTAGCCTAATAACATGTTAATTCAAATTAATCAACAATGTTTAAAAAAATACTAATAACTGACAATAACACTTTCTCTTGTAATTTTCTCTTTAAATTGAAGGCCCAAATTTATTTTCTAATTGAACTGTTAGTGTTACTCTGTTCTGTTTTGCTGCTTATTATTATGTTTATTGAGTATGTTTAATTAACCAACGATTTTATGATAAAAAGACTACAATTGTTAACCTACTTGAAAGGGTAATCCTTAAATAAAGCTCTGTTTTGCCCAATTAGCTGCAATTTTTTAATTGCCAGTGTATTTACAATGCAAACTTACTGTGTGTAGCTATACAAGTATCATAAGCAACATCAAATATGTATACATAAACATTTTTCTTTCTTTTTTTAAGTATTGACACATGATTACGGTGCTATATTACATAAACTACAACCAAATGTTTTACTTCATTTATATGGATCACCTATATAAGGTTTGCAATCAAATATAAATTAATAATTGTGGTGAAGTCATGAGTAATGTATGCAAATTAGTACTATCAAAGGTTTAAACCTTCTTTTGATAATGTATTCCAAACATTTGAAAGTCAAGATCTACCCATTCAAGCACTAACTTTCATATACCAATTTTGTTATATTCTGCAAGTATATTATTAAATACTAAAATAAAGAAAACCACAGTTGATCAGTTGACTTAGTCACATTTATTTGAGGGTGTACTCTGCAAGAATTAATAGGCCCTCTACTTTTTCAAGTGGGTCTGATATCAAATGTACTTTTGTTTGTTTCTAATGCATTAAAAGACATTTTACAAAGAAAGTTTAAATATAATTTTGAGAATTTGGAGAGGGGGATTTCTTCATTTATATTTTTATAGGTGGTACATACTTTAATAACAGTATTTAATACT